TCATCTTCACCATCCTACGTCCCTTTAAAGGGAGTATACGGGATGCACAGGTTGTTATAGGGCTATTGAATGCTATTCAGATACATATATATATATATGTATACACACACATATATATATATGTAGGGTTTAGGGGTTAACGGTTTAGGATATATATAACCCATTATCCCAGCACTGGTTTACGTTACGCTACCTAATGCAATCTTCTGTTGTTCATTCAAATCAGAAGAGTCATGCAATCAAGTACGTCAATCCCTGGCCTAAAACAAACTCATCACGCTCATTAAACTGTTTGAGTATCTGCTGAGCGAACCCTCCTAAAGCATGTAAATCCATATAACTCCGCTTCACAATTACTTCGTCGGGGGAAGGGTGCCGTTGCTGATTGTGGTGACGGATAGGATTGTACCTCTCTCAGCAGGGTCGGGCTTCTTTCCCTGATTTTTAGACCGTCTATTCGTCTGTCCTGTCTTGTAGAAGCCGAAGTACTGAGACCCAGTATGGCTACCTGAACCGGAGAAGGCTACAGTCAAACAGGCCTTCTTGCCGGCATAGCGGCCCTGCCAGACAAGACTTTCAAGCTTGGAAGCAAGGATGAGGCCTTTCAATGGATCTGTATGGAGGACATACCATGACGAGCTAGAAGCAGCTCTTACGCTACAAGAACTCCTGCAGTTTTAGGTGGAAGAAGGGCAGGGATGGGGTGGTGTCCTAATCTGAGCTATAGTCTACACTCTTAGTATCCCCCTTAATAGCCCCCTATCATACTCCCCTAAGTAAACCCCTTAAAAGTTTAGACAATAGCTCATCAGTGATGTATTCAATAATGAGTGTGTTGCTTTAGAAGTTCTGGAATGTGGGTCAGCAGCTTTCTACGAGGCCCACCTGACCCTATCAACTCGGAGTGCTGAAGGACGAAGATCTGAAACACATTGGGGTCAAGACCAAACTTACTGGTTCTTAGTAGGGACTGAGGAATATATTGCAAGGGTATTATGTAAGGATCGTATTCCCTTATTCCCTACTAAGAACCAGTAAGCAAATAAAGCTCCGACGGCCAGTCTGATACCAAAAAAGGTGCCCTTTGGCGACCATAGCCTTGCCTTGCAGGGTTCGCTACCTTCTTTCATGTCAATGTTTTCCCGACAACCGGCGCAGACTACCCCATTCCTCACGTAGGATGTTTGGTGCAAGGAGCGTCAAGAAAAGTGGATGCAGCATGCTGAGCCAAACCTTTTTCTCTCATTTTGTATGTTCCGTGTTAGACACATACATGTGCCGGAATAGAGTGCTCAGCTCTCACTACATCAAGTTTGGAACTGCGAGGAAGCCGGTTTCTACGTGGGCATCTTTCAAAGCTGTGTTGCCCTTTCGCACCGCCCATCCGCTGTCCCAAAAAGCTCCTATTACAAGGAGGCTTCAAATGGGACCCATGCCTCTCACAAACCGTCATGTCTCGGAAGCGTGGCAGAATTAGCTCACTAATTAGTGTCAATGTGGGGTTCGACAGGTGGCTTGGGCAGAAAGAACGAATGTTGGCATTGCAGGGCTTTTCACTCAAGCGATTCTTGTCCCTAAGCCCTGGACCCGCAAAGACCTGTATAAACCCTATCAAGCCCTAAGCGATAGACCCTGTTGCTTGGAAGCTTCCAAATACACTGTCATTGTGTGGTTGGACTCAAAAATGCTGGGGCCCTTTTGCCTATATAATAAAGCCATAAAAAAGGTGAATCTGTATTGCGGTCCCCAATTTACGGAAACCCCTCCTAGTGGGACCCACCAAGAGATACTACTCAGGTGGCCCAACCTGAAGCATGACCACGACCCTCCCGGCTTTGATGAAGCGACCTTAAGCGCACTTTCACATCGTCGGAGGAGTTTAGGGCTCACCGAAATGGAGTTTTCCCTGGAAACGCCCAAGGAAAAAAGCTAGCTTCAACTGCATATAACCACAACGAAGCATACTCTTTGAGGAAAGCTCTGTCAGGCACGATAACATGGGGAACACGTTGAAAACTCTCAGGAGGGATCTGCCGAGTCAGTGGTAACACATGTCTGGATAGATTGGAGCTTCAATTTTGGCACATGTTCCTCGAAGCCGCATCACAATATGGGAAGTACAAGAACCGGGCTCAGGAACATGGTGTGTCATCTTACATATATTCATTTGCAAAGCATGGGAAGCAAAAAATGTCTGGATGGTTCATGGAAACCCAGACAGTTTGCAAGTTGGGTCACACAAACCAAACATGCCGGAAAGGTTTGAACGGACTGCAAATGCAGGTGGCAGACATGTCGGACAGGGTCACACAGTCAAGATACACACCTGATTCGACAAGAAATGCACCTACACCACAGAGGTAGATGCACAGGAAATGCACGTGGCAGGTCCACTTTTGCCCATTTGTCGGTGACGCTCTGATGTGGTGATTCAATGATGTGGCCCCCGTGCGTGTGCGTTTGGAGTTGGAATCGATTCCTGCTTGGCTGTACCCATGGCTGCCAACTTCTTAGTGCTATGGCATCTTGCAAAGGCCTCAAACATTCCAGATGTTTTCTCACAGCCTGCATGATTATCTGAATATTGTGCAATGACAGGGGATATATATATATATCTAGAAGAATAATATAGACTAGTATTTCGACTCCTTCAAGTAGGCCAGAGCGCTACAAAATTATGATCTCTTCGCAGATACCTAAGCATTCTGAAAGGGTGGCAAATACCTAAACCCTAAACCCTAAACCCTGTGGTTAGCGCCCCAGGTCCAGGTACTGACTCTATGTGGGCTATAGTCTAAACTCCTTAAAGAGGGTTATATGGGGAAGTATATAGGGGACTACTATAGGGGTTTTTAAGGGGGAATACTAGGAGTTTAGACTATAGCTCATGTGTTTTTTGATTTTGGGGTCTTAGGAGAACCAGGCCATCCCTTTCAAATCAATGCACCGGGACCTCAGCCCTATTGAATGACCTTAATTTCTATTTTTGGGGGGACCCTAGTGTTAAAGGGGGAGAGGGCCAGGATTAAAGAGGATCCAATATTATGTGAGGCAAGCCACCCATGGTTGACCACAGCCGTCCACTAATGCGGCGATGTGCTAGTAACCTTTCCCTGAGCCCAAACAGCAAAGAACTTGTTTGCAAGGCGGGTAATTTTCGAGATTGCCGGCAAACTATCTGGAGTCCAAGATGAGCTGCTATATATCCTGCTTTCCAAGTATGACCCAACAAAACCAAGGCAACCAAGCGTAGGAATGTATGCCAAGAAATGGAAGTCAGTGGGTCACCCACCCTGGATCTCGGAGCGAGATTGACGACTGGGGTAAGTCACAACTTCCTCTAATATGCACTGTTCCAAGCTCCATGAAGGCAAGCGGATTCAAGAGGACAAAGCAGCTGTCTCCTCTGGAGACAGCCTGGAGTATTCTTAGAATGCGGCGCATTAGTACTGTGATAAAGCCATATAGTGTTGACTCCTTTCGTTTCGACATTGCACGAAGAGCCTATAAAACCCCAACCGCAAGAAAACCACTGCAAACAATCAGTTTCGAAGATCCCGAACTGAAGTGGGCATTGCCACATTGCATGCTCCTGAACCCAAGTCTCAATCCGAAATCCTCAACCCCCAAGGCCTGAACCCTATGCACCAAGCCCCAAGCGGCCACTGCTGCAGCTGTAATTTTTGCGGAAGTGTTTCTGGGGCAAATGGGATGCAGTTCGTACGGCCGGCGTTCCGCTGTCAATCGCGTCAGCGTGCATGTACCCTTCGGCACTTGCACTAATAGCGAGCTAAAAGTTTTTAAGATTGTAGTGCACATGAGTAGCCATTTCTTCCAAGAATGCAAAGGGGTGCTTCAATCGCAGGAAGTGGAGGGAAAGAGGTGCTCGCTCTTGCTCAGGAACCTTCCACCCTGATCGAACTGGAAATTCTCAACAACTAATCTTCTTTACCATGGGGGACATTGTAACTTATCCTCTTGTTTGAAATCGCTACTCTAATGTTGCCGAGCACGCCCAAGCGTGTTGGGCAACAGCGTGCAGTTGGCCTGGCGCCTTCACGCAGTGCCAACCCTCACATTCGCGCAACCTACAGGACTGAATGGCCTTTCAAGGGGTTCACGGTTTATGGTCATCCCCCACGGTGCAGATGCGCCAACTGACTTAAATAGCCTGTTCCCGTGGTGGCTGGCTTTGGATTGAAATACCCCAAGACTAGGTCCACATATTCCTGGAGCTGGAGAAAAACCGTTGGGAAGCAACCTCAGGCTGTTCCTTCAGGTAGGTAGGGCAACCTGTCTGTTGAGACGGCTGCCTGCCTGCAGCTCGATTTCCAGCTTGTTCCCATCAGGGTTTGAAGCTCGAAGGCTTCATAGGGCTAGGGTTTTGTAGTCTGGGGTTTGGGTTTACCTAAACCCCCAAAGTAGGTAAAATAATGTCCGAAAATCCTTAACAACAGACCAAGAGTTAAGGCCAGTATTTTTACATGTTTTGGCAAGGCTATTGGACTTATGAACGCTCGGTTGCCCGGTACGCGGGTTCGCGGGTTCACGGGTTCGCGGGTTCGCGGGTTCGCGGTTTCACGAGTTCGCGGGTTCACGGGTTCGCGGGTTCGCGGGTGCACGGGTTCGCGGGTTCGCGGGTTCGCCGGTGCACGGGTTC